ATGGAAGTGTAAGGCTTCAGTAATGCAAGACCTGCAAGGATGATTATGAATGTAGTGAACTAACAACTCAGTGAGAGTGAGAGGAAGCGATGCCCAGCGAGAGAGACAGAGTGGCGACCAAGTTCAATCCGTTCCATGTCAACCTCTCCAAGCTGTGCTAAGAGTAAAGGCAGGAGAGCGGCTGTACCCTGAATTTCAGTTAAACGTATCTTCACTTATTTAGCATAACATCACAAGGAATCTCAGAATTTACAAGTGTAAGCTTCAGGTGCACAAAGTGCACAAAACAGCAGTTTCTCTAATGGCCACTGAAGGCTGGCTCACGATAAACGTCCTGCTTTATAACATCTCAGAGTGGCGTGTAATCTTTTATAACTCATCAATCTGAACACAGTGTGTGGGCGCACTGATTGGCAGGCATCCTGAGACAGGCAGCTCCAGCTGATGGGTGTCTGCTAGTCCTTACCTTCGATGAACTGAACCCCCTTTTGATCAAATGAAATTAAATAACTCGTGTGGTGCAACTCATTCAGGTCAAATCGTGCTATTTTATTCCTGCTGTATCTGTTTATCAGTTAGTTTATAGATGTAACTTGCTTGCCAAGCTTGATAGCATGAGCTCATAACTCTAACTACATCCTTAACCACAAATATGGTCAGTTTTGGCTCTAAAAAAACCACCATGGTGATGCCAAAACACTAATGCTGAAGCTTCCAAAAGAGTCATAGCGGCAACACCCGTCAATACTATTCTGGGACTGTATACTGTGCTGTGACAAAGCGTTGGGCCTTGTCCTGATTTCTTAGATTTTTGCATATTTGCAACAATTAAATGTTTCAGTAAATACAAATTGCAGTTTTTAAATTGCGATTTCATTTATTAAACAAAGAAAAGCATCTCAACCTACCTGGCCCTGTGCGAAAAAGTCAGTCCCCCCTAAACCTAAAAACTGGTTGTGCCACCCTTGGCACCAAGAGCTGCAATAAAGTGTTTGTAATGATTGACGACAGTCTTTCACGTCAGTGTCGAGAAATTTTGGCCCTTGTAATTCAGCTACATTGGAGGGTTTTCAGCATGAACGGCCAGTTTAAGGTCATGACACAGCATCTCAATTTTAACAACGAGGTGATAAAGAAAAGCTAATATGGGAGGAATCTTTATAATCACTGTTATGGAAGAACCAAGACCTTTTCCCTGAACATTTAGGACCTCGTGATAATAAAACACAAAGGTCCAGCCTAGAACTGGACTAGCTGGATGTTCCTGACCAGTCGGCCTGCTGAACAGAATTGGAAGTGGGTTTTGAATGAAGGATTGTAATTGTGTGTAATGAAGTGATCGCTGTCTGAGAGCGTGCATGGATACACTTTGTATAAAAACACATTATGTTTTAAAGAAAAGGGATAAATTGCCCGTTTTTACTTCTTCTTCTTCTCCTTTTTTCTTTTATTTTTACATTGTTCAGTTTTAAATAACTTAGTGGCATTTTCCTTTGTTCAATTTTGAAAATGTTTTTTTATTGCCTGAGTAATTCCTTTGTAACTGATTTGTGTTTTGTGAAGTACATTAGTGTCTCTCTGCTTTTTTCTCATTGTTTTTATTTTATAATAACCAGATCCACAGCAACCTATTTGTCTGAATACTACTGCTTTATTTTTTTCTATGTACATTATTTTTCATTTTCTTTATCACTGATCCATTACTTTCAGTTGTTTTAACCATTTATCCACAGTTTTTTCCCTCCACAATCAGCCTGTTTCTCCCTTATACTTGGCTAATATTTCCAACCTCATGTTAGTTTTTGTTTTATTCTTTTTTTAATCTCCTATTGGTACCATGTTTGCACAATCTTTTACTTTTTGCTTTATTTCATGAACAACGCTCTAAATCTGACTAAATACAACCCCAACCTTTGACACACAAGTAGCTTAAAATTGCACAGAGGAGCTTTAGTCCCATGATCATGATATCACTGTCCACTGCTTTTAGCTCACACTTTAAACCACGTGCACACCACTTTTCAGTACATCCCACTGATTTAGTTGTTTATACACCTCACATTTAGCTAAAGTTTTATACTTCCCACTAATATTAGCTTACATTTTTACGTTTTTACCTTATGTTTTGCATTTTCAAACTTTTTCTATTGCTACTACTTTACTTTCCAGCTATTTATACATTACTTTGAGCTAATCTGTTGTTGTTTTTAAACATATTGTTATTTCTACTTTAATAGTATTTTAATATATCTCTTTTTCTTCTTCTTTTTACTGTGTCAAGCAACTGCAAAAGGATCCTGGCGTGTCAATTAGTGATATACTCCACCATTAACCTCATTAATTACTCATTAATACAACCACTCTTAGGAAGCACTAGTTTCACATTTTCTTAACTGCTGTGGCGTTTAATTAAAATTTCTTCACTCATTCTTATCAGTGGAAACATGACAAATAATTCATTTGTAATTTTATATGAAAGTAAAACCAGCAGCAGAGCGTTAAATGTTTCCCCAAAGCAGCAACGACAGAGTGCGGTTCCTCTTTAAACTGTGACCTGGAGTAGTGCTGATGTGTGTTTTGTTAACCACAGAGACGTCTGGCTTCCTATGTCTCACCATGCATCAGGGCCTATATGCTAACCCTTCACCTTCTACAAAACAGCTACAGATAGCTCCATATATGAAAAGCTCTAACTTAAATGTATATTTAATGGCTATGAATGAGTATTAGTGAAAACTAAGAATAAAAAAATGAAACCAAGAGCTCATGTGTTGCTAAACTTGGTTAAACTGCTCACCAATAGTTAGATAAAGTGAATGATGACTGATTACATTAAGGTTGGACTTTGAAATGTCTTGCTAACACGCTGTGAGCTGATAACTACAAATACAAATACTGCACACAAATGTATTGTAAATTCATCATAGTTTAAGTCATCTTTAAAGAGGCTTCTCATAAAACTAGCAAGTGACCTTGAGTTACAATCTGGAAATTGTTTCTAAGCAGCTGAGCCGAGTGTGGTTTGGATATAGGCGGTCTTCAACCTCCCAGCTGCCTAGTGCAAAATCTGTATAAAGTCCAACTGTGCCCATGTGGGAAGTGGATAACCAACCATGTGTCCTGCCTCCTGTACTCCACTCAGACAGCACCTTGTAGTAACAAACATTTTACATGTAAACCATCATGTGTGAAAACTACTTCTTTTTTTTTGTGTGTTTTTTTTTAAAGAGGCTATTGTGTTTATTTCCATCTCCATAGTTTCTATTCTTGGACTCTACTAGAGTCACTTTTGCGTCGCTTTATTTATTCAAAGTTCAAAATAATCCTCATTTATATTATACAGGGCTTTGTTGTAGCACCTTACGTTATCCTCTGAGACAGGAGGCTTTTCTCATTTCTGTGATTTGTGCCTCCTCGTCTCATTTGTCCTTCGGTCTATAACATGGAAATCAATCTCAGTGCACCATGCTGGAGGACGTCTCAGTTTGTTGAGGACAGCATGGAGGAGCTATAACCAAGGATGCCCAGGTGTGTCCTTCAGAAAAAAGTTTTGCACTCGGTGTGTAAAACAACTGGTTGTTCATCATTGTTTGTGGGTGTGTGATAAAAATATTTATTGTGTCATGTTGCACCAGGCTTTAAAAATAGCCCTGAATATAAAAATGCCATGACAACCGTTTCACCTGAGATCATGAAACACAGCTATAAACAAAACTATGTATATGATGTAGTTGTACCACACATCAGTATAATATGAGACGAGGAGTCCAGGATGTGTGATTCCAGAAAAAGCAGAGGGAGGAGATGTATTTCATTTCTACTCTGCATCCATGAAACTGACTTTCTTCTCACTGGCTGCCCCTCATAATGCTACAGGTTAGAGGAGTCAGGGATTGAACCACTGACCTTTCAGTTGGTAGACTGCTCCGCCACAAATGCCCCACACATGAATGTGCCACCTGAGTTTCTTGCTCCCAGGGGTTATATGAATATATGCTCACTGCACTATTTTAAACTTTGGCTTTCTATTTTTTTATTGTAACCGTTTATATACTAACCCTTCCAGTGAGCTGCAGTTCTCTGGGTAAAAATGCCTTGTTGATGTCAGACTGCAAATAACCACTTTTTACAACCAAAGTATGCAGAAGAGTATCTCTAAATGCACAACACAATGAACGTTGCAGCAGAAGACACACCAAGTGCTGCTCAGCCTAAAATGTTCACACACTCACAAAAACAAGACCATTCAATAGCGACTTGTGATTTCTGCTGCTACATTCAGGCAGGTTCAGAATTTGACTGTCTATTTGTTTATTACCACAGTGTACTCGTGCACCATGTCACAAAGCTCAAATCATCTTAAACTGTTCTCCTGAACATGACAGTGAGTCCACTGTACTCTAATGCAGCGGTACCCGGGCCACGAGAGCTGAGGCTCAGGTGTGAAATTTATGGATTTAAGGGTTTTTAGACGTATTTTTTTAATCGTTTTTATCGTTAACTTTGTTTCCCTGGGTCTTTTCCCGTGTGTTATGAATAAATCTTCTTTTTTTAGGTACCGGCACTGGTTTTATTTTGCTGTATTTATCCGCGACACCTTAAAGGCCGGTCCAGGAAAATATTGTCGGACATAAACCGGTCCGTGGCGCAAAAAAGCTTTGAGACCTCTGCTCTAATGGCCTCCACAGTCATCAGATCTCGAATAGAGCTCCTTAGGGATTTAGTGGGTCAGGAGAGTCCCATCATGGATGTGCAGCAGCTGGGTGATGCTATCATATCAACATGGACCAAAATCTCTGAGGAAAATTTCCAGCACCTCTGTGAATTTGTTCCATAAAAAATACAATTAAGTTCTAAAGGCAAAAGTGGAGTGAAATACATTTATACCAGGTGAATATGTCATGCTGTCAGGAACCTTCAGTTTATGTTTATTAGTGTTTGAACTGAAAAGCAAAGCACAAGAAAAACAGATAAAAATCAATAGAAATTTATTTTCTTACTTATCAAAAATATCTGCAACAGAATTGCATAGATGGACACAAAATAGCTTCCATGATTGATTCATGTGACTGTAACAATGAGAAGAGAGTAAGACTATTCCAGTGTGTTCTTCTCTCAAACACATGGGATGCTTATTTGAACTGAATAAATTCATACCATAGTTTCCCGTTTTCAATAAAGATTAGCTAATACGTACATTGTGATATACATCTCCAATTTTTTTCCTTAAAAATCCAAATGGATAATCACTCCTTATAAATAAGGGTAACAATAAATATTCCAAATATATTAATTCTTGGTTTGTTAAATACTTTCCGATTATATTTTCTGAACCGATTATGCCACACAGAAAAAAAGGGAAAACTCTTCATGATTATAATTTTTAAAACTTAATTGCTATGATGCTCCTCTATGACAAATCAAATGGAAATGAAAAGTAAGAGAAAAAAAAAAACAAGTCCTCAGCTTCTTCACAGATCAGTAGAGCACACAGATCAGCTCAGTGTGTTCGGTTCTGCCGGAGTCGACAGTAAGGAAGTTTTTTTGTTTTTCGTGGGTACTGCATATCATTGTCACACAGATAGTATCCCAGAAATTAATCCTTCAGCTTCTCATCTGGAAACATCCTCCTGCTGTCCCTCGGTGTGTGCTTATCCAAAGTAACCAACTGCCAAAATAATTTGGAAATCCACGTAATCCAACATTTCCAGGCTTGCTCCTGTCACTGCTCCTCCATCAGTTGGCGTACTGTTTGTAGAAGGCAACTTTGACACGCTCGATCTGGTGACACAGCTTGATGGCAGGCCCGAGCTTCAAGTCCATACACTCCTGGACTGTGGGCAGAGTCAGCAGCAGCAGGGCCTGACCATCGATGTCCTGCACACAAGTTAAACAGAAATATTCAGGGTTTGAAGCTTTCAGCTTAAACTCCTGTAATGTACTTCACCTCAAAAAAAGCTGCTTGCAGAGGGCGTTTTTATACAAAATTAGAGCTTCAGTTTAGTTTCAAACAGTCTAAGGATGAGTTTTTTTTTATTTTTAGTGTATTTATATAAAGTATTTGTTAGATTCTAAGTTGAAAAGTTCAAAACAAAGCTCTAATAAAATATGATAATGAAAGCACTCGACACATTTAATAACATTGCCATTCTAATCTCAACACACTGAGCAAAGCCTTCATTGGCTGGTTTTCTTGACAAATGTGACCAAATCACCAGACTAAACAAAACTCACTCTGTTTGTAAGTACACAATCTCATTTCACTTTAGACTATTTAGGCTAGGTTTTATTTCCATTTGAGTTTAACTAAAACATGTTTAAATTACTATAATAACCTTACAAAAAGTCTCTAAGTAACAAAACAAGAAATGTTACTAATGGTTTTTTAAAAGGCTTAAATCCTGATTTCACACATTTTTGTATTATTAATTCTCTTTTTGTTCTTTACTTTCTAAACCAATTAAAATGTGCAGTAATATGAAGTAAACAATTTTATTCCCCCAAAAAAGCAGAAAATAATCGACCGCTCGAAGAAGATGTCATTTGTAGCTGGATAAATATCTGCCTGAGAAAAGCTGGTACCCACTGCACCTCACAGAAACAAATAAGGGGTTAAAAATATAATATCCACACATGTTATTTATCACGTCTGTGTTCAGTGTAATATGTGAGAGTCTCTGCTGGCTTTTACTGTCTTGGTTACACTGAGGTGTTTCTCTGTGTGTGTTTATCTACTCTGTGTGTAAAGACAGCCCCTCCCCTCCTTCTACACACACAGTCCAAGGAGAGACACACAAGCTGAAGTCAGTCGAGTTAATCGCTCTAAAATAAACTAATAAGAAACCCACATTGTTGCCACCTAAACCAATCAGTGAGGCAAACACTGTATCTAACCAAACACTGGGCCATCAAGAAAAATATATTAAAACAATTTATAGAAGAGTTTGTACACAGACAGTTGAAAACAGGGGCTCTGTCTAAAAATATCTATGATTTCTCTAATGCTACATTTTTGCTCAACCCCTGAAATTTAGTTACTTTATTCTGCACCTTCAGCCCCTATTTATCAAACAAGCAACACTTTTATTGACATGTATACCTAACAGTAATTGTGTTTTTGTTTTTTGTTTACCTGCTCCTGGAAAATGCCAGCCAGAGATGCGCAGTCGGTAGAGTTAATGAACTGGACGACTTCATCTACGCTCCACTCCAGAGGGTTTCTGTCCAAAACCAGCTGACCGTCCTCCTCCTCCACCTGAAGTTGCACATAAAAGGCACACTGTGAACTAGAGGGTAGCACACACTGCTCTGGGTTCTGTTAATCACTCAACTATTTCAGTGTGGATAGGATAAATCATGATGCAAAATCCTGATGTGATAAATCCCCCCATCGTTGATTTTTTTCTGGTGTAGAAGCTCGTGATGGAGCTGTTTTACTCTCCTCTCGACACTATTACTTTTACATATAATTAAGTGTACCAAAAATATGATGCATTAATATCAGTAAACTTGCTTGTCATAAAGAGTATGGGGAACCAGAGTATGGGGAACCTGTTTTGTAGCCTCTCTGCTTTACCTGCATGTCTTGTCCTTTGGCGGGCTGGTACTTGCTGTTCTGGTTGTACGCAGACAGTGAGCGAGTTGACCTCCTGCGACCTGCGGGAGCCTCCGGGCTGAGCGCCGGGCCGAGTGCCGGGTTTCCCGCGCTGACGGCCCTGCGCAGCGCCGTGGCCCGGCGAGGACGGCTGCTGGTCACCTCCACCGATGAGGTGTCTGTGTGGTCCTCGCGAGGTTCCGAGCTGGTGCCCTCGCTGCCTGACTGCAACGCCATCTCTTCGTCCTCCTCTCCCTCATCACTGTCCTGGAGAGGGGAGAAAGAAGGGAGTTAGAGGGGCTCTGTTGTTCACAGTTGTCCCAGAAATCATGCATATCATGCAGAAATGTTTGTCTCAATGTTTATTCACCAAGTTTAGCAATTTATTCAATTTACCAGTCAAATGAGAGTTGTGGAATAATTAAAAGCAAAAGAATTGTAAAAAAGCTGTGGATAAACAGTAAATACAGAAATTTTTAATTTGAACATCAGCACAAAAGCTGCTTACAAAAGCCGAACTTGAATGTTTATGCCTCCTAAATGTTTTCACAGCATTTTGTTGGGATCATTTTGGTAAAATGTTGTTAGAAAAGGCTGAAACGCACTGGTGTAACAGTAGAGGAAACATTTGAGCTGGACTGAAATCTGAAGTTTCTTTTAATGACATTAGCCAAAAGTTTCTTGTTTACACAGACAAAGCAGAGGCTTTTACGTTAACCAGAAGCTGCTACGTCAATTTAAATGTAGACAGAAATATCTATTAAATATTACGACTGTAGCTGACTGAGATAAAAACAGCTTTTCATGCAAAAAATTAGTTAATAGTATAAATGATTTGATAGATCTGCTAATCTGGTGACATGTAATTGGTTACATGTCAGTCTGCAGTGATATAACACAGAGAAAAGAAGCCACTCCTCACAGATGCCAGAGCACAGAAACGATCATTAACATGAGCAGGTTATCTATTCAATCACTTTGTGTTTCTCTTTAGGACTGAAACAATCTTCCAACCAGTCCGGCCAGTAAAACTCCACAATGTTGCTGAACCACCTCACGCATAAACTATACTTTCAGCCTAACGATTCCCTCCCTCCCAGCAACCGCCATCCTTGTTGAGGCCACATGAATGTGTGTTTTTTTTTAATGTAATGAGGAAGGTAACTTGGTAAATTTAGGGTTTGGGTTATCATGCTTTCCTATAGACACAAGTACATAAAACAGGTAAGACTAGATTAACCTCAGCCAGCCACTGCAATAAAATGTTGCCACGTGAATTCTTTATTATTAGTAAACCAGAAATTTTGAATATTTGAATCCCGAGGGATTAATAAAGTTCTATCTTATCTTATCTTATCTCTCTCTTATCTTATTATGCAGGTATATTTACACTACTTTTATGTTGTTTGTTGACAAGCAATGCAGTGTTCCAAACTTCTGGTATAAACACTTGGAGTATTGGAGGAGTGCTGGAGGATACGATTTTGGGGTTAAAAAGCTAAAAATTTCACTTTTTACTTCATAACTTGTGAGCAATGAAGCTCATTCTTTTTTTTTTGTTGTTTCAGTTTTTTGAGGGTTACGCTTGTTGCCTGGTAATACACTGGTAATATTTTCTGAGGTTAGGTGCTCCAAATCCTGTTTGGGCCACATTTGAACCTAAGTAATTACCACAGTAGGTTTCATGTAATGTTAGTTGGATATGTTGAATTTATTGACTTTATTGCTAGAATACTCCCACTTATTCTGGATTATCTGTCCATCTGGGCTTTCTCTGATTTAAAGCAGACCTTAACTCCCTGCTAAACTGGCTTGTTGAGTTTCACTGTGGATTTTAAGGAGGAATCTGCAACATTTAAAAAGTCTTCTTGTAATAAAGAGTGCTGAGGTCAATTGATCATAATACAGTCACATAGAAGATGCTACCTGCTCATTCACTGGTGTTAAAAACATATTCCTGTGGTTTAAAAGTGACACAGACAGCAATCTGGGAGACGTATTTATGATGCAAGAAATGGAAACTTCTCCTGCTGTTAGCTGAAGAACAGAAGAAACAGATTTAATTTTAGTTGCCGGTTCAAAGGCACAGTGGGGTACGCTTGCCACAAAATTTTATTGTGCGAACACCACAGCTACACTAATGCAGCTTTTTATTATCCAACATGCCAGGTTGTACTGCCCTCCTGCTAACAACTCAGCAACACTGCCCAAGTGCAGAGGACCAAAATTTAAGAATGCGATAATTTCCTGTAATCACTGTCGGTGTTAGTACAGAAGTCTGTTGTTACGCGTCTTGAAATGTATTTATGTTGTTGCACAAGTCTAATATTTTTCCAGACGAATCTATCTTTCAGCCTGACTTTCAGGTCAGCATTTATTTTATATTTAATTTTGTATCGTCATCAGAACTGTTAATGTTAAATCTGTCTTTTTTGGTCATCTTTAACAGTCATAATAATTTATTTATTCTAATCTTATCAACTATTCTCCCCTTATTTAACCGGAAGATGAATGGTCAGATTTTGTCTTTTTATCCCTGTCATATAGCGGTCTGCAGCATATTCACACGTAGTATACGAATATAAATTAAGACACAAACTAAAATCTCTCAGGGCCTTCTTTTAACTTTTATGTTGCTTTTTTACTTTCTATTCTACAGTATGTGTTAATATTTTAAGTGATCACTTTTAAAAATCTATGTATCTAAAATCTATTTATTCGTAATACCACCTCTTTATTCACCTGTAAATAACTCAACCTGCACAAAAAGGTGTAACACAAACAAAATGTGACTAAAAGTTTTCTGAAATGTTTGTTTTTGTTTTTTTTTAACCACAGCAGCAGTGACAAGGACATCTCACCCTCATGAATTTTTATTATTATGTTATCCCCACTCTGCTTCATGTTTTCTAGCCACAGAGTGACAGTTTGTTTTTCATAAACAGAGCGGGAGCGCAAGAAGAGAGACAAGTGCACACTGAAATTAACAGATCCTTTTAAAATAATTACAGTTTATTCAAATCCTGACTTGCTTTCTATGGTGTGAAAGGTTCTGCGTGTCTTCTATTGTTTCATTCATCCAGACTGCACAGTGGGCGTATTAAAAGGCGGATTAAGTGCTTATATACACTTTTAATAAAAGTAGATTTTCCCATTTCTCTAAATATCAGCTGGACTGGCCTCTAATATGAGTGATAAACACTGATCATTTAGTCATAAAACAAATATGGTGAGAAATGTGTCTTAAATCCTTTGTGACAAATGACAAAAGACATAATGAATAATAAAACTGTCTTTTGTTGACAGGACACAGGAATTTCTATTAATTCAGGACTCAAAGGCTGTCAGAATGCTGCTCCATTGCCGCCTGATCGATGCAAATCCAAAGGTTGTCTCTCTCTCTGCTGAGGCGCTGCATGCTTAGCATTGTTCTAGGCTGTGGCCTCCAGATAATCATATTTACATTTAAATGGCAACAGACATTACGTGAGGAGGAGGTATGGCACTCAAGGGATCCAGAATAGAAATCCATGCGAGTTTTCAGAAATGCTAAAGATCCTTGCCCCGAAAGAGCCCATTAAAACCCAAAACAGGAAGCATGTAAGCAAATACTCTTTCAGCTGTGTTGATGCTTACCCATAGCAGAGGTGCAGGAACCTTTCAGCTGTGCTGTGGACATTATATTTTACCTTTCCACTCATGATTGTAGTAAAAAAGTCATGCCAGTTTATACTCTTCCTGTACCGATAACATAAGATTACTATGGCATTTGTACAGTGGTCTGGATTAAGCACTTAATGAAGCCGTAACGCTCTGAAACTGTGAGCGTGTAGCATTGTGTTATACTTAATAACTTAGATTTGTGTAACGCCTTTCAAGAAACCCAAGGACGCTTTACAAAAGAGTATAAATAAACAAAAAAAGGCTAGAGGTCAAAGGCTTTGCTTAATACACGAGTTCTGAGAAGTTTCTTGAAGGACTCTAAATCTGTTTAACCAGGACAAAAAATGACCTAAATCAGCCATTTCATTCTGCTGTGACAAATGTAACGATGGTATTGTCTCACTTCATCATGCAAAAGCCATGAGGAGTAATATTCAATAGAAATGTCTCAGACAATTGTGAAAAGCTTTTAAAAACAGAAAAGTAGTTTTGCAAATTACTGATGTTATTGATAAATATATCACACAATATTGAGCATATCAGTCATCACATGTTTATTTAGTCCAATGTGATTGGCTGACCAGTATTCGTGCTCAACCCAATATTCAGGCTGAACGTAAAGCTGCTCTGGTGTCTCTGCCGGACGTGGTTGTTGATTGTTGTTGGATCAGGAGGACGTTGCTGGACAACGGCACCAGAAGGTCCTGGAGTGATTTCCTCATCTCTGCTTGCCTCGTCTTCTTCTTTGAGGAACAGCTGCGCGAGTTTTCTTACAGATTTTGTGATGACCAAACCCAAGATGAAACCCAGAGCGAGGACGGGCATGATGAGAGTCTGTTTAAGTCAGAGTTCTGCGACTCTTCATTTAATCCAGCAGGCACGAGTCTTGTTGAAACTGATGATGTTAGCAGTCTCAGGTGGAATGTTTCTTTTTGTGCTGGTTTTCTTTCATTGCTATGGTGACTCAAAAGCTCCTTGTTGCCACGGCGCCATGTTGTAGTACAACCAAAGCCTTTCTAGAAGCAAATCTCACCACTTTGCAGCCATCTTGAAAAAATTCAAGATGGCTTGAACCAAACCAAAACAAAAACCTGTAGCTCCTCTTATGGCCACTTGAGGCAGTCTAGCTAGACTCCCATACTTTGCACAGTTTCATATAAAAATATTCCAGGAGGAGCCTAGACATCATGGTTCAGAGGTCCACTATAAAATGCACTGAATGCAACGCCTGTGTAGGCTGTTAAAACTAGAGAATGAACTCATGCCTGCTTTCACTGAAAACTGACCTTATCCCTGTGTTAATATGCTAAAGCTAACTGAGGCCTTAACCTGTGAGGTAGTCATATAATACGCTTTAAAACTCACACAAATGCAGACTTGATGCCTGAAGACGGTACTTCTGTGGCATCTGCATATTAAATGAACAACTATAATGTGATTGACTGCAACCTTTCTGTGCCAGATGTGTGGCTATTTTTAGCTACAATAAATAACTCAGTGCCCAGCAGTGGATATATCTGCATAAGGCACCTGCATGAGAAGCTCCTCTTTTACCCCGCATTTTCTATATTCACATGTGATTTTGTTTATAATTTATACACTGTGCACTTTGTTGTGAGTGTACCTGCTGCTGTGTCACAGTGCACAGGACACTTGTTATGAGAGACAAAATAAAGGACTGAGGAAGAAGTGAAGAAGTGAGGTGTTTTCTAACCTGCGGGGAGCCAGCGGGAGTGTAGTCCACAGCAGAGGAGCGTCTTTTCTTCTGCACAAAGATAGCTTTCCTCTTCTTCCTGCGGCGCGTCGGCTTGGCCAGCTCTCCCTCTGCTGTCTCCTCTCCTGCAGTGGGCTTGGATAGCTTCCTCTTCTTCCCATAGTAATAGGCTGTGGACGCAGAGCAGATGTTGAAAACAATGCACCCAAAACAAAACTTAGCCACTCATCCAGGGCAATTATACACTCTGCAGCATCACAAGCTTTGATTTGGGTCTCCTTCATAGCTGTGGCGCAGGAAGTGATGCGTATAATTACAGAGACTCACTGTATTTGGTTTTTGTTTGGACGGAGCAGTTCTCTGGGCACTTGTCAGTAACGAGGATGGGGCTGAAGAGGTTCGGGCAGCACTGTAGTTTCACACACACTTTACGGCAGAAATCTGGGATCTGGTCTGCTAGGCGGACAATCCGTATGGTGGAACGATACGTTTTTCCTTTATATCTGTGTGTGGGAGGAAGGAAAGGGAAGACAGAGGGACATTGTCAGTGAAGAATTACTTTTACTTATGAGGACAATGGCTAATTAAACTATCTGTGATCCATCAAAGCACTCATAGGTGAATGATGATTGCTTGCACAGCAAGGATGTGAAAAACGGGCAGTTTTACGACAGCCCGCATGACTTCAGACTGTTCGGTTGATTAGGCCGATTCAGGAGAACGGAGTGAGATGAAGGGTCAATTTGGCAATATCCCACATAATGGCTAAGGTCGGGCAAAGAGAGCGGAGCTGCTGGCAAGAAAAAAATATAATGACCTACAAACTAATGTTGGTCTGTGCTACTTTCTTTTTTTTGGAGGTTATTAGGTTAAAATCCAATAATAAATCATTAGTGAAACAGCAGTTTAGTTTGATTTTAAACCAAAACACATCAACAAAGTCACATTTCAATTAGTTGTATCGATAAATTTCTTTCAATACATTCTGTTGTGTAACATAAACGTGCTTACAGAAATCAGAAAAGGAATTTTTCATGTCATAGACTGAATGACTAATCATTTAATTTGCAACTGTTAAGGAAAATCAAAATCAAGTTAAAGCCCTAATAGAAAATAAAATAGTTAAATGAAGTCTTATACCCTTATAAAATGCAAAGCTGATATGTTAATTCTGACAGGACAGGATGACTTAAAGGTTTCTAAACATGCAGCAGAGTTTATCTGATCTCTTTGTTTAACCATTAATCATTAAATGAGACACATATCTTTATCTGGTACTATAGCCCATTGTTGACTCTGAGGGGAGGTTAGATGAGGGGAATTCCAGAGCAGTGCGTCTAACTCATAATTTTCATAGATACAATTTTCACTTACATGAGGCAGTCCTAATGAAAGGAGAACGCGGCTTGTGGTAGTCAAGGAGCAGAAGAAGCAAACAAAACGATACAAAAACACACAAACAAAATACTGATTTTCTCTTTCTTCTGCTTTTAGAGGTCTCAAACTAACATAATGCACCAGCAGTCAGCAACTACGGTCAAATCAGTTAATACTAAGTCAGTCAATTCAATTTATTCAGTTACTTTTAATTATTAACTATGTTTGTCTTACTAATTTATTTTTATGGATCAGCATTAACTCTGCTCTTAGAACTTGTAGGAATGAACAGACTGCTGCCCACAAGGAACTATTCTCCACATTAACACCTTAAAATGTCTGATTTTTACTGATTATCAACTGAAAACTGAAAAATAAAAATAAAAACTATAAAAGCTGCAAATCTGCAATAGCTTAAAAACTGCAGATATTCTGCAACATTTGTGATATAAACTTTGCTTACCAATGTATTTTCTTATGTTTTAAACACTAATATAATCTATGAAATCATGCCAAGTTATTTAAAAAAGCCCTGTAATGATTATGACACGCCATGAGAGTTAATTCACACAGTGACCCTGAGATGTGCTCCATCAGGACCTCAATTTTAAGTAACAATCTGAAGAAAATTACAACCAAACAGGAACAAGATCCATTAATTAATGAGAAATATGTACTCTCTGTCAACTTGTTTTTGCTCTTGCTTAATTGAACTCAATTGTGTACTGAACCTTCTCCACTTTGGAGTCAGAAATAAATTGGCTCTCTGGGTGGTAGATGCCCCAGAAAATTAAAAGTAAATCCTCTGGCGAGTTGTCAAAACACTCGTGCGTGAATGTGATCACTGTGCTCTGCGGGCCAGCACAGGTGACTCACTCAGACTCATGACTGCCTGATTCTTTCTCGTTTCGGACGGAAAAAATGGGGCCGTTTTCGATTAGAAAACACCGAGCACGCAGCCTGAAGCTGTGGAATAATTTGGCTCTGTGCAGCCAGCAGTGGATGAAAATGCAGACCTTACACAAATACTGCAGCAACAAAAAACAACATAAAAAATTCAAAGAGGGGCAGGGAAAATGGCCTCGCAGGAAACGAGAGGAGGGGGAGGGACACAGGGCCCTTTTAGGAAAGATAGTGATGATTTATTATGAAATTCAATGGCCCATGACCAAAACAGGAGTGGAGCAAATGAAATGAGAAAAGAACATGTTCATTGTTGTTCCCCTGCCATTTTTTGTTTTGTATTTTCCTTTCCCCTCACTTGGCTTTGAGGGTCTCCTCTTGGCAGTCCCAGCTCTGATCCTCCAGCTCCTGCAGTTCCTTCAATACTCGTCCAGGCTTGTAGGCAGCGTTGATCAGCATGCTCAGCAGCTGGAAGCAAAAACAGAACAAAGAAAAAGACAAATAAACTCCTGCTTGATGTGAACAACTCAAGACAAAAGTGAACAAACACGAATGAGGATCCAAGCGAAAGTGAAAGAAAAGATACAGATCACAAAAAACTGTGGAGAAAGCTACATTCTCACACCTGCACAAAGTGCACGAGAGCACACAGTCTCTAGAGAAATTAAAAGGCTGTTTTCCCAAATGGTGGTGGCGGTGTATAACAGTAAACACTGCTGACTGACAGCTCCTCACATTAAAATGAAGGTGCTGCTGGGAAACGGCAGGTGGTTAACAAGACATCGCTGTCTCGGCCTCCGTCTCTTACCTCCTCCCTCTGTCAATTTCTGCTGGCCCACCTCTCTCTTTGAAAGTGTGCAACCCTTTGATTAAACCTGCTCCTCTATATAACCTCCCCCCCACCTGTTTTTGACATCAGCCCACCTCTTTGAGGACCAGTGTGCATTTTCCAGGTCCGACAGCCTGCGGCAGCTCTGCGATGCGTCCCTTGTTGAGGTAGGGTCCTGAGAAACAGCGGTGGTTGACAAAAATCTTGGAGCAGCAGTATCTTCCATTAGCTGAACCTAGGACAGAAGAAAAGAAGGAAAAATGGATGTTCACCACTATGGGAAATAAATATGCTACATGTAATACTGGCATAGTCCAAATAATATCTCTCTTACAAATTTTGAAACCATAAATAAAACATTGAAACAAATATTCTGGAAAAAACTGAAACCAACATCGCATTTGGAAAATCAAAGAGAAACAGAAGAGAGTGCACAAGCGTACAAGGAAGCTTTCAGAGTAAACAGATTACACTTAGTTTTCGGATTTTTCTTTAAGTAGCCATGGGTCACAACATCTCATTATTCCTGGTGGAAAATGTCAGGTTGAAAGAAAATTATTCTCCAATAGGAACAAACGTTTGTCTGTATGTGTGGCCATGGTTGCAAATCAACTTGCAGAGTCAGCAGCAAGCCTAGGCGGACTAAAGCCACTTATATAATCGAGTTAAGTTAATTATATAGCACATTTAAGCACAACAGATGTTGACCAAAGTGCTGCACAGCAATCAATAAAGAATTAGGAAAAAAATAGAACTATGGGACAGTAAGGGAGCACGATGGAAATTAAAATATAGCTGTAAAATAATGTAAACTAACCTACAATGTTCACGGAAAGGCAGACGTAAAAGGCTCAAGAGAAGAGGCGCTTTTTTTTGTTGACATACGAAAGACTGTTAAGTGAGGCTCTACTACCAGCTGGCAGACAGCTTGCTTAAAGCATTCTGCGTGGGGTATTAAACACTATAACATGTTAGATAATTGGGGGGGGGGGGGGGGGG